TTGCGAGACATTGTTAAATATCTCATATTTCATGGCTAACTTAATTAGCGTCATGTCAGATACTTAACAAAAGTTGCTTTCAGTATTGATAATCCAATATTCAAATATGTGTCAAATCCTTAAATAGAACAAATATACTGTTGGCAGAGTTATACCTTTTCAATATGGCTGCCATGGAGGCCATTTTGAAAATCAGACTTTAACCTCATGAACAAATTTAACTTTCATCTTTGAAGGGGACAATCATGCATAGTTTCACCTTCATCGTTCCAGCAGTTTCTGACAAGATAATGAGTTTCACATTGAGTAGACCTAAGTGAGACAACAAGCTGCAAATCTCAGCACAATAACTCAATCACCATGACAAAATAGACACACAAATGACACACAAACCACAAATACGACACAATAAACTGTATCAGTAAGAAATATAAATATCATTTTAACACTCTTTCAATTTTCTCAAAGCAAAACCAAATCTAGTTCCAATCAAAACTATAAATAGAAAATAAAATCACCGAACATCCTTCAAATCAATAATTCCATATTTTCCATCACTCCTATTAAAAAATTGCAGCAAGGCGATCGCCAAAAAATACCCCAAAATCAATCCAACCAAAACTAACCTCATACATATTCATAACTAATCAGCTAAAGATCTAATCATTATTCTAAGAACACTATTACTCCAAAAATGTGATCGTTGCCCGACCACTGTTCAGATTTACAGTGGTCAGCCCTTGCAACTCACCTTTCAGACAACTGTCCATCTATCCAGTGGCCTGTCCAGTCTGTCCTCTGCCCAATAATAGCGATGTCTGGTAACAGCTGTCTGACACCGCTGATCTAATCAAGTTGAAACGCTTCTCTTACGCTATGCCCAATAATCGCTGCCATTCCTGTGCATTATTGTGACCACCTACTCTCATTTACAAAGTGACGTCCGCTGTGGGTAGAATGAAGGTAAACTCATCGCTACGGCAACTTGGTCCACTGACACCATTTTGTTGAGGTAAAATATCGATATTCCATACAATAGCAGGATGGTTACTTTCTTGTGTATGTTGCAGGAATCTGTTTTCTAAGTGAGTGGAAGTGTGCTGGGTAATAGCACTGCAATCAAGAATGTCACAATTTGGGTTGAACATCTCAACAGCATATTCCAGGATCATTACCCAAACAATACCACTTAAGTTTTGAAGGAATTTAAAAAAAAGCTAAAACATGAAGTTATTGATAAAACTAAAAGGATCATGTTCTAACATCCACATGCTTTTCTTAAGAAATATTATGGGTGTGACTGAAGCAGGGTTAATGTCAAAACAAAGTGCTGATATAAGCACAATCTTGGCTGTACAAGGTATGACAAATCAGAATCTACTAAACCATCGGAGTGATTTCAGCTTATCACTTTTTCACATAAACCAAAATATTCACTACAAATTCGTTTTTGTTGATGCCACAATTTTCAAACAAAATTAGTATAATATGCAGCTGCTGGACACTAATTCTAACATGCATGGGCTGCTGAAGACCAGTTCTAACAAGGATGGGCTGCTGAAGACCAGTTCTGACAAGGATGGGCTGCTGAAGACCAATTCTAACAAGGATGGGCTGCTGAAGACCAGTTCTGACAAGTATGTGCTGCTGAAGACCAGTTCTGACAAGGATGGGCTGCTGAAGACCAGTTCTGACAAGCATGGGCTGCTGAAGACCAGTTCTGACAAGTATGTGCTGCTGAAGACCAGTTCTAACAAGGATGGGCTGCTGAAGACCAGTTCTGACAAGTATGTGCTGCTGAAGACCAGTTCTAACAAGGATGGGCTGCTGAAGACCAATTCTAACAAGGATGGGCTGCTGAAGACCAGTTCTGACAAGTATGTGCTGCTGAAGACCAGTTCTGACAAGGATGGGCTGCTGAAGACCAGTTCTGACAAGCATGGGCTGCTGAAGACCAGTTCTGACAAGTATGTGCTGCTGAAGACCAGTTCTAACAAGGATGGGCTGCTGAAGACCAGTTCTGACAAGTATGTGCTGCTGAAGACCAGTTCTAACAAGGATGGGCTGCTGAAGACCAGTTCTGACAAGCATGGGCTGCTGAAGACCAGTTCTGACAAGTATGTGCTGCTGAAGACCAGTTCTAACAAGGATGGGCTGCTGAAGACCAGTTCTGACAAGCATGGGCTGCTGAAGACTAGTTCTAACATGCATGGGCTGCTGAAGACCAGTTCTAACAAGGATGGGCTGCTGAAGACCAGTTCTGACAAGCATGGGCTGCTGAAGACCAATTCTAACAAGGATGGGCTGCTGAAGACCAGTTCTGACAAGCATGGGCTGCTGAAGACCAATTCTAACAAGGATGGGCTGCTGAAGACCAGTTCTGACAAGCATGTGCTGCTGAAGACCAGTTCTAACAAGGATGGGCTGCTGAAGACCAGTTCTGACAAGCATGGGCTGCTGAAGACCAGTTCTGACAAGCATGGGCTGCTGAAGACCAGTTCTAACAAGGATGGTCTGCTGAAGACCAGTTCTAACAAGGATGGGCTGCTGCAGACCGGTTCTGACAAGCATGTGCTGCTGAAGACCAGTTCTGACAAACATGTGCTGCTGCAGACCGGTTCTGACAAGCATGTGCTGCTGAAGACCAGTTCTGACAAACATGTGCTGCTGAAGACCAGTTCTGACAAGGATGGGCTGCTGAAGACCAGTTCTAACCTGGCCCATCTCAGGTTAATTCACTGGTAATCATATCATTCTCTAAATCCACATTCACTTTAGTACAATGAACACTATTTCTTACTTAACTGTTCAATGAATCTGAATTGTATTGTATTCACTACTGAATTTAATTTTCACAGCATATATCTGCTTAATTTAACAAAAGAAATCTGGAACTTGATTTTTCATCAAGAACAATTTCAGACCATAAAATAACCACCTTCAAAGCCACAGAAAAATATCCTTTCAATCTGGAGGAAATGTCAATATCATTTGTCCAAACAAGTCCATCAACATGATCAAATATGGATGGTCCATAACACCCACATCATGTTCAGACTACCACAAAATGTCTGCACTGTACAAACACACCATGAAAAATGCTGACAAAACAAAAAGCAATTGTAATGCATCAGATACTAATAAACATACAACTAATTTAGATTTGGGTAAAACATATGAAATATGAATGAACTGAGCCCAGCTGCTGAATTCCCACAGCCGGCTGCTTATCACTCCATTCAGCCCTCACGTTTATCAAATTATTAAGTAATTCCTTCTCACATGTGGCATTCTCTCATAACGCCAGCATCCGATATTTAACGTGGTATTTGACGAAACACATGCAAGGGTCATAAAGACACGCCCTGCTGACAAGATAAACACTGATGTCATTCTCAAATATCGTCTACACAAGAACGCCATCCATCACTATGGGCGCTGCACTTTATCTTCCACTGAAAAGTACACATGCACTAACAAATGAGAAATGTCGCAACTTTGCCAATCGGTTGCTGCCTTGAGGCTCACGGAATGTGGTTTCAATAAAGTTTTCAATGAATCTGGTTGGAAATGATCTAAATTCCCTTACAGTGTCTTTGATATGTTTCCAGGAATGTGCTTCAAAGAGACTTGGTAAAGTGAATAATTCAAGCTGACAACCATTCCTATGTTAACGGGTGGTCTTGCTGAGACTTGATCTTGATTGAGGGGCAGGAGCCTTAGAGCTTGCTTTCCAGGGCGTGATGCAGAGGTGTGATGCAGAGGTGTGATGCAGAGGTGTGATACAGAGGTGTGATACAGAGGTGTGATATGGTACCTTCATCACAGGGCAAGGACTTGAAGTCTGGGCTGTGTGTCACCTGCTGCTTGACTCAGCAACACCTGCTGCCTGTCACAGAGACACCTGCTGTCTGTCACAGATACACCTGCTGACTGTCACATAGACACCTGCTGTCCATCACATAGCCACCTGCTGCCTGTCACAGAGACACCTGCTACCTGTTACTGAGACACCTGCTGCCTGTCAGCTACCTGCTCCCTGTCCTCCCTGTCGCTTAGACACCTGCTGTCTGTCATTTAGACACCTGCTCCCTGTCACTGAGACACCTGCTGCCACTAACATATACACCTGCTGTCTGTGACTGAGACACCTGCTGCCTCACATAGACACCTGCTGTCTGTGACTGAGACACCTGCTGTCTGTGTCTGAGACACCCGATGCATGTCACTTAGACACCTGTTGTCTTTCACTGAGACACCTGCTGCCTCTCACATACACACCTGCTCCTGTCACTGAAACACCTGCTGCCTGTCACATAGGCACTTGCTGCCTGTCACACATACACCTGCTGCCTGTCACACAGACACCTGCTGCCTGTCACACATACACCTGCTGCTTATCACAGACACCTGCTGCCTGTCACACAGACACCTGCTGCCTGTCACACATACACCTGCTGCCTGTCACACATACACCTGCTGCCTGTCACACAGACACCTGCTGCCTGTCACACAGACACCTGTCTTGACACCTGTCACACAGACACCTGCTGCCTGTCACACAGACACCTGCTGCCTGTCACATAGACACCTGTTGCCTGTCACACAGACACCTGCTGCCTGTCACATAGACACCTGCTGCCTGTCACATAGACACCTGCTGCCTGTCACACAGACACCTGCTGCCTGTCACACATACACCTGCTGCCTGTCATAGACACCTGCTGCCTGTCACACATACACCTGCTGCCTGTCACATAGACACCTGCTGCATGTCACCTGTCACACAGACACCTGCTGCCTGTCACACAGACACCTGCTGCCTGTCACACAGACACCTGCTGCCTGTCACACAGACACCTGCTGCCTGTCACACAGACACCTGCTGCCTGTCACACAGACACCTGCTGCCTGTCACACAGACACCTGCTGCCTGTCACACAGACACCTGCTGCCTGTCACATAGACACCTGCTGCCTGTCAGTACAATACCGACTTACCTGGAAGCTGTGGTTGATGTTTTTGGTGCTGCATTCCGCCACACTGAGGTTCGTTAGATCGATCTCGTCAAAAATCAGAGACTGAAACATAAGAGTACTGTATATTGAGGTTGTCCTGATACATCTGTATCAGTCATCAACAGGTATCACAATATTTGAGACAATCATGGCAATATGCAGCTATTTGTGTGTACATAGGTTTTATTATGAACTGTTCTTGGGGGAGAACTCGACTGTGCATCGGGTATAGTGACACTAATACCTGAGTTAAATTTATAGCATAAATATCAGAGGTCATCAGTGTCCGGTACACAATTAGCCAGATCACAAGAAATACATGATCTTCCCTGACACTCACTGAATCATAGTGCTGGTATTAGCATACAACCTGCGATACAATACATCACGGACTAAAATTTTAGTCACGATAATATACTGCCAAAGTATTGCGCATTTAAGCTGTGATACGATATAAGTGCCGATACAAGGGTGGCGATACAATACGTATCACGATACTAAAATCTTTAATTCTAACACCAACTATAAAACACCTTAAGATCAAAACAAAACTAATTTTAAAGTATTTCGTCAAATTCCGCCAGCGTTGTTCAATGTTATAATTAAGTTTATACACGGACTTAATTAACTTTGTGAATGTTGATAATATGCGAGCGCTATGTCTGACACAGATCTTGACGCAAGGATTTGCGAGAAAACATTTACTTATGAAGGGAAACTAAATATGCATATATTTTAATCATCAAACAAAAGTGAATCTTTTTTTCTTGACAGACATCAAGATTCGGCAATATTCAAAGTTAAACATCGATGTATTGTAGCCCATTTCAAGTATCAGATCGGGATATACAACAATGTATCGATTCACTGTATCGGAGGCCCACGGATCGATGCATTGATGCGTATCAATGAATCGTCACTCTACTACTGAATCACCCCAACCCACTCTTTTATGAACAATTTACTCACCCTAACCCACTCTCTTGCGAACGATTTACTCACCCGAACCGACTCTCTTGCGAACAATTTACTCACCCGAACCGACTCTCTTGCGAACAATTTACTCACCCTAACCCACTCCAAAACAATTTACTCACCCTAACCCACTTTCTTATGAAACATTTACTCACCCTAACCCACTCTCGTGCGAACAATTTACTCACACGAACCAACTCTCTTGCGAACAATTTACTCACCCTAACCCACTCCAAAACAATTTACTCACCCTAACCCATTCGAGAACAATTTACTCACCCCTAACCAACTCCAAAACAATTTACACATCCTAACCCACTCTTAGGAACAATTTACTCACCCTAACCCAATCTCTTATGAACAATTCAATTTACTCACGCTAACCCTCTCCAAAACATTTTACTTACCCTAACCCACTCTTATGAACAATTTACTCACCCTAACCCACTCCAAAATAATTTACTCACCCTAACCCACTCCAGAACAATTTACTCACCCTAACCCCCTCCAGAACAATTTACTCACCCTAACCCACTCCAAAACAATTTACTCACCCTAACCCACTCCAAAACAATTTACTCACCCTAACCCACTCTTATGAACAATTTACTCACCCTAACCCCCTCCAGAACAATTTACTCACCCTAACCCACTCCAAAACAATTTACTCACCCTAACCCACTCTAAAACAATTTACTCACCCTAACCCACTCTTATGAACAATTTACTCACCATAACCCACTCTCTTGCGAACAATTTACTCATCCTTAACTCCCTCACAATTCACACCAGAAAACCAATTCCCTCACAAACAAATAATTCACACTCTCTCTCAAAACACTCAAAACAGCTACTGTCCACTCGCTAACCCACTCAGAAACAATCCACTCACTAACCCACTAAACACAATCCACTCTCTAACACTCAAACATAACTCACCCGCAGGTCAAAAACAACTCAGTCACATCTCACAACTCACCCACCTCTCGCCAACAACTCACCATCTCACCAACAACTCACCCACCTCTACCCAACAACTCACCATTTCACCAACAACTCACCCACCTCTCACCAACAACTCACCATCTCACCAACAACTCACCCACCTCTCGCCAACAACTCACCATCTCACTCACAACTCACCTACCTCTAACCAACAACTCACTAAGCTCTCGCCAACAACTCACCATATCTCACTCTTAACTCACACACCTCTAACCAACAACTCACACAGACATCTCATCAGCAACAGCTTTCACAACAACTCACTGATATCTCTGACCGACCCCTCACAACAACTCACCCACCTCTCACCAACAACTCACCCACTTCTGACTCTAGCCTCACCAGCAAATCTACATCTCACTAAAATCTCAACCACCTCTCACAAACAACTCTCCCACAAACCATTCATCCACCCACAACACCCTCCCATCCGATTCACTCATTATTCTGACACCTCAAAACTCACCCCCAACTAATTCTTGGGCCACTCACAACAGCATTGGACCAAGTCATGGAAACACCATATAGGACAGCTTACTTAACACTAAGTGCAAACCAGCCAATTAATTGGAACTGTTCAGCTGACAAAGATCAAATACTAACAAAGCTATGCCCACACAGCGGCTTGGGAGTATTGCCGCTCGGAGATGGAAAGCGTCCTACGTGCCTGTATTTGAATGGAGATGGAACAAAAATCAATTGCAGATACTGTGATGGTTTTGTCCACTACTGCCAACAGTCAAATAATGGAGCTACAGAGCTGGAGATTAAAGTACAATGGAGACGCCAAGTATTCGTACAAGACATCGACAAAGTATTTCTGTTGGATAGTAATGAAATGTAAAGAATTCTCATATCGTCTATTAAAAATCTATCTTGAGATTAAATCAATATTTTCACCAAAAAATTCTTCACGAGTGATGCAATATGTTGGGTATTCAAGTTCTCTAATTAGAAGACTGCAAACATTGGCTAAATGTAGTAATCCGATAAGTAAGCCATTTCCAATACTCTTAAACAGATCGTATAAATAAAGACTGGGCCTGTCTCTGTGCGAGGTCTGTGAATACATCTACACGGAACTGTGCCACAAACCAGTTGTGGAGCTATCACAAGTATGGGAGTTACAAACACACTATAATCTTTAGGTGCATTTGAAACTAATCAATTTTATTAGAATTGTATTGTTATTCACATGACATTATTACAAAGTCATATTTCTATACTAACAGGTCTACCTTGCATTATAACAGGACCTCCCAAGCCTTGCTAGACAATATACTCGACATACTAGCAAGGTCCATCAGGCATTTAAGTGTGGTCTACATGTCATTATAGGATCTTTCATCTGGCACTGTAACAAGGTCTATATGGCGTTATATGATGTTCCATCTGGCACTATAACAAGGTCTATATGACAATGTATGATACTCCATCTGGCAATGTAACAAGGTCTATATGACATTATATGATGCTCCATCTGGCATTGTAACAAGGTCTATATGGCGTTATATGATGCTCCATCTGGCATTGTAACAAGCTCTATATGACAATATATGATGCTCCATCTGGCATTATAACAAGGTCTATATGGCATTATATGATGCTCCATCTGGCATTATAACAAGGTCTATATGACATTATATGATGCTCCATCTGGCATTATAACAAGGTCTATATGACATTATATGATGCTCCATCTGGCACTGTAACAAGGTCGTTATATGATTATGGCATTATATGATGATGCTCCATCTGGGCATTATAATTGTAAAGGTCTATATGGCGTTATATGATGCTCCATCTGGCATTAACAAGGTCTATATGCATTATATGATGCTCCATCTGGCATAACAAGGTCTATATCAATATATGATGCTCCATCTGGCATAACAAGGTCTATATATATGATGCTCCATCTGGCATTATAACAAGGTCTATATGACATTATATGATGCTCCATCTGGCATTGTAACAAGGTCTATATGTTATATGATGCTCCATCTGGCTAACAAGGTCTATATATCATTATATGATGCTCCATCTGGCATTGTAACAAGGTCTATATGGCATTATATGATGCTCCATCTGGCACTGTAACAAGGTCTATATGGCGTTATATGATGCTCCATCTGGCATTGTAACAAGGTCTATATGACGTTATATGATGCTCCATCTGGCATTATAACAAGGTCTATATGGCGTTATATGATGCTCCATCTGGCATTATAACAAGGTCTATATGACAATATATGATGCTCCATCTGGCATTATTATAACAAGGTCTATATGGCATTATATGATGCTCCATCTGGCATTGTAACAAGGGCATGATGCTCCATCTGGCTATATTGTAACAAGGTCTATATGGCATTATATGATGCTCCATCTGGCATTGTAACAAGGTCTATATGGCGTTATATGATGCTCCATCTGGCATTGTAACAAGGTCTATATGACAATATATGATGCTCCATCTGGCAATGTAACAAGGTCTATATGGCATATATATGATGCTCCATCTGGCATATGTAACAAGGTCTATATGGTCTATATATATGATGCTCCATCTGGCATTGTAACAAGGTCTATATGGCGTTATATGATGCTCCATCTGGCATTGTAACAAGGTCGCATTATAACATCTGGTAACAAGGTTATATGACATTATATGATGCTCCATCTGGCATTGTAACAAGGTCTATATGGCGCTATATGATGCTCCATCTGGCATTGTAACAAGGTCTATATGGCATTATATGATGCTCCATCTGGCATTGTAACAAGGTCTATATGGCATTATATGATGCTCCATCTGGCATTGTAACAAGGTCTATATGGCATTATATGATGCTCCATCTGGCATTGTAACAAGGTCTATAACAAGGTCTATATGACATTATATGATGCTCCATCTGGCATTATAACAAGGTCTATATATGATGCTCCATCTGGCATTATAACAAGGTCTATATGGCATTATATGATGCTCCATCTGGCATTATAACAAGGTCTATATGACATTATATGATGCTCCATCTGGCATTATAACAAGGTCTATATGACATTATATGATGCTCCAT